ACCTGTTTTTTTTATTCCTCAGATATGAAAAATATGAAATTTCTATATGAGTACAGTTTTAAGAACAATTTAAAAATCACTTCAATAAAAGTGAAGCCTCTAAGAATGACGACACCTTTTCTTAAACTTGTATGCTAAAATGTTGTTTCAAGCATGTGACACCATTTGCTAAGCTGAAAATGTCACAGTTCATTAATAATGGCTAAATACCAGTTATAGATGAATAAAGGACAATCTGGCTGATTTAAAAGAAGGAAGTTTGAAATAATTTCCATTGAATAGTATCTCTTGATGTGTTTTGTTAGTCTCCATTTAAGTGTTTCTTTCTGTAGTGACAGCAATGAAACCTTAAACCTAAACTCCGTGGTCGACCCAGACAACACTGACAGAAATGTGTCTTCAAGTTCAGCCTTCTAGCAAAGCACTAGAATAGTGAGCAAATCTCAAAAGAACAATGCTCATTCTTCTCAAAGACCTTTCACAATGTTTGGGAGAGAAGAGGATAACATTCAGTCTACCTTTTGGAGACCTCTTACTTGCTAAGATCCTCCCCTTGATCCACCAAATTCATACATACATATGGGTGTAATCTCTACAATTACAGAATCACAGAATGTTAGAGATTGGAAGGGACCTCGAAAGATCATCTAGTCCAATCCCCCTGCCGGAGCAGGACACCTAGATCAGATCACACAGGAATGCATCCAGGCGGGCTTTGAATGTCTCCAGAGAAGGAGACTCCACACCCTCTCTGGGCAGCCTGTTCCAGTGCTCTGTCACCCTCACCGTGAAGAAGTTGCTTCTCATATTCAAGTGGAACCTCCTATGTTCCAGCTTGAACCCATTGCCCCTTGTCCTGTCACTGGATGTCACAGAGAAGAGCCTGGCTCCATCCTCCTGACACTCACCCTTCACGTATTTATAAACATTGATTAGGTCACCCCTCAGTCTCCTCTTTTCCAGGCTAAAGAGACCCATCTCCCTCAGCCTTTCCTCAGCAGGGAGATGCTCCATTCCCTTCATCATCTTTGTGGCTCTGCGCTGGACTCTCTTCAGCAGTTCCCTGTCCCTCTTGAACTGAGGGGCCCAGAACTGGACACAATATTCCAGATGCGGTCTCACCAGGGCAGAGTAGAGGGGGAGGAGAACCTCTCTCGACCTACTGACCACCCCCCTTCCGATACACCCCAGGATGCCACCAGCCTTGGCCACGAGGGCACAGTGCTGGCATATATAACAGATATAATTAGATAAAATATACTGAGCATACCAACTTTAGAATATCTGCATCCCAGACGAATTTGCTTATATTCTCGCTCTCTTCACAAGTTGAGACAAAATTTTCAGTTGTTTTGACATAGACTTTTTTAGGAATTAACTTTATGGTGATAAATCACCTCTGATTACTTTAATAGGGTCATTTCAAATGTGAAGATGTCTTTGAAAGTCCATAAATTTTCTTGAAAATTTTATGCATGTGGCTTGTATATCGTAATTCTGACAATTTGTGCATGTGGCATTATGTCATAAATTACCGCATTTATTTTGGCATGAGTCCCAGTACTCATGAGCACTGCCTCTATTATTTAAATATGTAACATCTCAAACACAGGATTCAACATCCAAAATAAAGGAATACTTAGCAAAAAAACTAATGCTCAGACAAGGAATGAGGACTGGAATTTTCCTGATGATTTGGGATGCAACTCTAATTGAGAGAGAGTCTAATTGACCCTTGATGTCCAACTCTTTGAACCATTCTTGAAAGTCCAGTTTAAAAACAATTTCCACATCAAGCATTAAGTTACAGTACCTTATGCAAGATTTCTAGTGGCACAGAAGTGTTTCACTTAATACTTAGCTTGTTAAACAAGTCTGAAGAAAAACAAGTAAACAGTAACTTGACTTTAAAACTAGCCTAGATGGAGAACTCTCCTGGAAAAAAAATCTGTGTTTAAGATAAAATGTATATAATGTGAACTATTAATATTTAGTGTAATATTTAGTGGGGAAGCCATTAGGTGTGATGATAAACCAGATGATATGAAAAATACTGTGAACATGCCACACTGCTATTGAACATAATTAGTTCTCAGGCTTTTAAAGTGGCACACACTTATGTTTTTACATCTGAGTAAGTCCGCTGAAATCAATCATATATATCAAATAAAATTAAATCAATTCATACAGATTATAAACCAAATCAAATTGTTAGATTATACACCAAGTGCCTAGCAAATAAAAACCTTCTCCAACAAAACTAGCCCATTCGACACAAAGTGACTGCGTATTTTTAATAGGCTGCAGCTTAATAATTTCAACCTTTAATTACTGCATCAGATAATGAATATTTTGAACATATGCTTCTCCACTCTGCTAGAACACATGAATGAAAGAGAAACTAGTCGATATGCATGCTGCTGTGTGTGCGCGTTGGGGGAGGGAGGAGCACGCCAAGCAGCAAAAGGAACCAAGTGGCAACAATTGGAGGAAATGGTATCTGTAACAGCTGCTCCTTTCAGATTCCCCTAGAAGGAGACTGCCTGAGGTGGACCGCAGCACAAAAGGATAAAAAAGATGAAAACTGATGCAAAGCAGGAAAATAACTGCTGAGACCCCTGAGTCTACACCCGAATAGTCCCAAGCTGTGTGGCAAGACCTCTTTAGCATGCTACAGAAGCTGGTGATGAACTACATATTACCATGAGGCAAACTGGCTCCTAGCAGTATTGTCTGCATGTTATGTGTAATGATAACCAGTGGTCCTCTGGGAACAGGAGGCAATGATTTCATCTCTGCAAGCATCTGAGCTCCCCCTGGATACAGAGACCATTAAACGGAGAACAGAAGGGTAAATTTTAGGCCATGATTTCTAATTGGAGAGTGAAGACAACTTGTGCTCAACAGTACTGTCAACCACAGATATTTTACTGCGGTCTATATTGATCACTTCTAAGGACAAAAAGAACTAAAATTTTACCCCTTTTTCTTAGCCCCATAACACACACTATATTTTCTGAATGAAAGTACTTTATAGGTTTCTCATGTAATATCATCGGTAATACTATTATATTGGGAAATGCCACTATATTACACTATATTATTATATTACTTATACTGCAAAGTATTGGTATTTTCCTTACAGTTAAAATAACATTGTATACTCTTAATGTAATGTATAATTTATGTTTTGTACTACAGACACTTTTTTCCCTTTTAATAATAACGCACATTGCTTTCCTTACCTGCAAGGTGTTTTTGTAAGACTAAAAACAGTAGGCACAACCTATTATGTATGTATTTTAAATTAATAGTAGTACATTACAAAGTTCAAGGTTTCAGAATCTTCCTTAAAAAATAATAATTCTGCACGTGACAAAAAGAAAGGGAGCTTCCAAATGATTGCTGTAACTTTTTGGCAGGAGGCATGGGGGAGCAATGAAGGGAAAGCAGCAGCTACACAACGTAAGCAAAATGGATCCTGAGGAAACAGTGCCAGGACACCTAATATTTTTGACACTTTCAAGGGTAGTTTGATCCTTTGTATAACATGGACATCGTGCATTCTTCTTCATCACTTAATTTCTCCTGTGATGGAGAGATCACATATGTATGCAGGCTTCTTTACTTTGCACATTTGTTTATCTTACTGCTCTTCATCATCCACACAGTTTATTGTGACTGTCAGAAACTTAACAGATAAGTTGATCAACTAAGAATGTCAACACACTTGTCAGTTAAAAAACAATACAGATAAACTTCAGTACAAAAAATTCTCATCTAACCTGCCATACTGTATTCTTGGAAGAGATCACATATCCTCTTCTCATTGCTGTTGCAACCATTAGATACAATTTTATAAAATTTTATGTAGCTTTTTCATTTTGAAATATTTTCACATTCAGCTACAGACTTTGCCACCAATGTGAGAAACAGGCTCCCTCTTTCCAGCATGCAGTTCATTTATACAGAAGATGGGCCTAACAGAATTGAAGAACTATGTATAAAGATGGTCAATAACTTTTGGAAAAATCGTACCACAAATCATTAAAAGCATGTAAGTATATTTCAAGAGAGAAATGTAGAAACCCCTCCTACACTGCAGAAGCCAAGCAAACAATATTGAAATCCATGCTGAATTCACCCTATGACTTCTATTAGTCTATTTCTGTCAAAGAATAACCTCTATAAAACATGTTCATTAATAAAACACCAAGTTAGTTAAAGGAACAAACAGAAATAGTAATTATCCAGCTGATTAATCTCAATAATGGACAAAATATTCAAACAACTTCATTTTCCACACATTTTTAAGAGGATAATGGAAGACTGTGACATCTCTGATGACTGGCACAGACAAATCAAGTTGATGCTTATCTTTCCTCTCACAATGACCTATGATGAACTAGAAGAACCCTCCTTCCAGAGCAGCCACATGTAGAACTCTCATTGTCTTAGAATTACTATATATGGGAGGCTCAAGGGAAACATGAGGAGCTTGAACTCAAGTATCAGCAGAAAGGATGGCATCAGCACTACAGCTTTTCATACCAAAAGCAATTCATACTTATATCTAAATTCCTGATGTTCTGAGAAGCTCAACATGTAGATCAATATATTTTTAATTGTTGATCACAAATATGCTGTGTCACATGACTTTGCAAAACTGGTGTTTTATACAAAAACCTAACTAAATAAAACCTGGTTTATATATGTATGAATGCAGGAAAGGAAAGCTAGTCACATAAAACCTGAATTGTCAGTTTGTATTACTCCTATAGATACAAGCATGGAAACTTGGACTCCATCAGTTCTGAAACTTACTGAAACCATAGTTACTTAAGGCACATGAATCCCTGCCTACAGAACTAGATACAGCTATAAGTGGTCTGTGAGCCAAGTCTCTCTAAGGCTTTTCCATGCTCCAAATTGCCTAAGATGATGCCAGGGAGGCAGAGAAAGGCATTGGAAAAGCTAAAACAACCTTAAAACAAACTTACTGATAATGCTGTCTGTTGGTCTCCAGCAAATTGATACGCTAAACTTAAGCAATATGCAGCTTCTCCTTCCATCTTCATATCACCTCCTAAAGAAGGGATTAAAGTTACAGTTACGAGTGTAGTCTGAGCAAAATTACTTTAGTACAGACAGTTTACACAGGTTCTCAAATAACAAAACAACATTTAAATATTGTAGTAAGTTTTTCCTTCTCCTTACCCTTGCCATTTATTTCTTTCCAAAAATATACAGAGTAGCAACTAAAAATAGAGGCTATGGATTTAAACAAAGTTCAACAGTCAGAGAAAATGTCTTCTAGTAAGTAATGCAGCACAATCAATTTAACATCCTGTAATGCTCTTTGTCATGAATTGTTTAATAATACTCACAGTATTCACATTAGAAAATCATAGCAGCCTCTCTCTATATATACTCCTACATAAAAGTAGCTACAAATATATAATATATAATACAAATATATAATACACCCTCATATATAAACACAAAGGATGTGGACCCATACACTCCGCTAATGCAAATCTTAGTGAAACACCAAGAGGTAACAGTAGACCAGGTTCACATTTCTTATTTTCACGGCTACTTTGCAGGCTGGAATAGCTAAAATAAAGGGATAACTTACACTTCCAAGCCGTAGTCACAGAAAATACTGCACAGGCTAACCGAGGTGCATAGCCCTTTTCTATGTCAGGTGTTATTTTGCTAATGCTGATCTTACAACCACTGCTTGCTGGTCTTTTTATATTGCTCCCTCAATTGAAAACCATCCATTCAATACTGATTTTAAAAAATAAATTAGTTCTACAAATGCTTACTGCCTCACACTATAGTCAAATCTTCCTCTAAAAAATGAATACCCAGAAATAAAATTGGAAATTAATTTATACTAAAAATAGCCAAAAATCCAGTCTTTCTCTTGCTCAATATCCATCTGCTCAAACACAATAAAGAGTAGAAAACTGACCTGAAGCATAACTGCATATTAAGAAATTTTGTAAAATGCATAAATAAACATAGTTGAAAAGGGAGATTATCTTCTTACAATTGTCAGGTTAATAAATTCTCTATGTCCAAACACGTAAAGCCTACATCTAATTTTGGAACTTTTTGAATGTTGTAACTGCTGAAGCTAGAGCACTTTTCTATCCATAGCACTTAATACATTACATAAAATTATGAAAAGCCTGTAACTCAAAAACCTGCTGGTCTTTTCCAATTTTCAATATCCCTTAAAAGGGTTAAGGAGACAAAAGGATATAGAAATACAGTTTCACAGAAGAATAATAAGTGAAAAGTTGCTAGTGAAATAAAAAACTTCCTTACTTAAGAACAGCCAGAGTCTGAAGTGGATAATATCTAATCCTAATTGATAAAATACATAAACATAGATGATGGTCCAAAAGGACAGAATGGATATTATAGATGGCAGCCAGAGCCAGTATGGGTTTAACTAAACTGTTAAATATGGGCTTTATAGATAATAGAGGCTATGGTTCTGGAATGGGGACCAGAGAACTCATCTGAAAGGAGCCTCTAAAGCTTAAATTTAAGAGAACAATGGTAAGTACGTGGAGCACAGTGATATTTACTACGTCTCAGGAAGCTACGGAAAGTGATTGGTTTGAAGTAAGGGCACTGGAACACCTGCCCAGTTAAACTAAGTTTTGGAAAGGCATCAGATCCATTATGACAATCTCTTTATTCCCAGCAGTTTTCACTAGCAACAGGAAGAAGTTGAAGGGAAACTTCATCAGCAGCACACTGTCACAGTCTTTCTGTAAGAAAGGAAAATACTAGTGGCAGCAGTTTTACTGTAGCTATGACTAAAGCATGTATTGTAGACAACAGCTGTAGATAAAAGCTATATGATCAACAGATGTAGCTGAAAAAGATGGAGAAGTTTTCGGGTACATGTGTCCTTCTTCAGCTGACTAACTGTATTGGCATTCTTAGTATTTGGGTACACACTCCCAAGAGAAAATATCTAAATAGGCAACTTACAAAAAAGATCTACTAATGTAAATTGCAAATAAAACCAAAAGAGCTTATTTAGTGGTTTCATTAAAAGAAAAAAATGCCTAAATACTATCATATACCCTCACAAATTAAACATCTGGAACGGAAATAATTGAATTCTTGCCCCCAAAGTCTTGTTAGGCTTATTGCCCGAAGCTACCATATAAAAAGATTTAGATTTCAAATGGCATTTTGAAACAGGAGTGCTGTGTCCCGTTCTGGGTTCCCCCGTACAAGAGAGAGAGGAACATATTGGAGTGAGTCCAGTGAAGGGCTGCAAAGATGACTAAGGAATGGGGAGCATCTGTCCTAGGAGAAGAGGCTGAGGGAGCCAGGACTGTCCAGACCACAGAAGAGAAGGCTCAGGGGGATCACATCAGCATGACTTACGCAGTAGCAAAGAGGAGGGAGCCAGACTCTTCTCAGTGGTGCTCAGTGACAGGAGAAGAGGCAATGGGCACAAACCGAAATTCCATCTGAACTCAACAGAATACTTCATTATTGTGAGGGTGTCTGAACAATGGGAAACGTTTCCCAGAATGGTTATGGAGTCACCATCTGTGGATATACTAAAAATTTGACTGGATGTAGTCCTAGTCCTGGGCAGCCTGCTCTCACTGACCCTCCATGGGGCTGGCTTGATCTCTAGAGGTCTATTTTCACACCTCAGCTATTCTGCAATTCTGTAATTTTCTATTTTAAGTTTCAATGTATTTATGTGTATTAAGATGTAGAGAAGAAACCTTGTTTACTTATGATAGAAAACTGTTTTTTGCAAGTATTAAATAACTATGTAGAGCGAAAAGGCAGTGACCCAGCAGATAACATCACTCAAAATTTCCCAAATCAACAGTGACTAGCTAATCAAAACCTCAGCTCCCATGAGTGACCTAGTTTTCTGATTAGGGGTTCACTCTTTTATACTAGTATTCTTACACAGTTGTTTTTTTGGAGATAAAGCTTTCAGGAATCTAGAAGACTGTTGTCAGGAAGAAGGCATTTCTGCTTTAGTGAGATCTGGAAGTGTATTGATAGCATTTGTCTTGGAATTTCATAGGAAATAATCACCGTTACATACTTGACAATTTCTACTTTACTCTTGGGAAAATCATGGCATGCACATCAAATAAAGGAATGTGAAAGTGTTAGTTACCACCTACCTTCTTTTGCCATTTTTAAAGCTTTTATTAGAGTTTTGATGGCCTGTTTGTGTTCTTTATTTTCTAGCATTTTGTCTGCTAGTAACGTATAAATTCTCCAGAGATGCTCACATGCCAGTGAATTGTAAGTATGGCCTGTCTCATCCTTCCATGTCGAACCCTGTGTTAGCTGGTAAAATGCTTCATAATGCTCAGCAGCTTTCGTGACATGACCTGAAAAATGCCATTCATAATTACAATCAGTGTAATCAACAAAAGTTTTAGAAGTTATGAGTCTTTAATAATTTTCTCACTAGAAAGTAAGTTGCAGTCAGTCATTCCATAGATTTGTCAAGAATCTTCAATATATAACTTACAGATCACTGTAAAATACTGCCAAATCTCACAGTTACCAGTAACATTGTGTTTTAAACTTATCACATTTTAAATTAGCTTTCCTTTGTAGATTCACAATGTTGAGGGTGTGTGATCCCAAGGATGCAAAGTCAGGATTTTCTAGAAAACACATCTACTATTGCTCCTCAAGTTTTTTTTCCATAATGAAAACCTGTGCTGAAAGATTTGAAACGTGGAGAATAGAGGTATCAAAACTGTGTGAAAAAATTTTTTTATTCAAATAAATTAATTGATAAAAAAGGATTACTATGCAAAGTAATTTATTTAACAGTTATTACTACACCAACTCTGGTGAGTTTATGTAGTAAATCTATTGGAAAAGCCTTAACCACTAATAAATTAATTATTGAGCCAGAAGTAATACACCAAGGTCTTAAAAGGTAAGTTACTCAAACATCTTTAAGACAAAGGAAAGTTTCAAGATAAAGTTCAATTCATTTTACCATGCAAGTATTTCCTCCCTCTCCCCTAGATTTATCTCTGTGTATACATGCAACCTAGGAGATTTCCACACTTTTTGGAAAGAAGAGAAAAGCTTTTCCTTATACATAATGGGTACAGAAAAACTGTTGGGAAGCAGGTACGCTAAGACCACTTAAATTAAAAAACCAAACACATTCCGCACCTCCTTTTACAAAGAATGTTCTATAGCAGGCAGAACTGGGAACGTGACCCATCCTTCTGTGTGTGACGGAAGACTTGTCCCATTGATTATCAATATATCAACTGCTATTTCTATTAAAAGCTGAAACAAAGTTTGTTTTGATGTGTTTCCAGTTTACACCTCTTCTGAAACTTGATTTATAAAAAACAATTACTGTTTTGCAGACCATTTTTACAGTGTTGCATTCAAAGTACACAAAGAACTAGGAAAGAGAAAAGTTGTTTCCCAATTGTAGGAAAGGAAGGGAGAGAAGCTTGGAGAAGGACCTTCTTTAAGCAGTCCAAGAGAAAACGAGGCTAGTTCCCCAGGCCTCCAGCCAACCTTGAGGCAGCAGAACAGCTATGACAGATTCCTCTTATTAACTTAATTTGGATTTGTCTTTTGCATATGCCACCTTTTTACAACTATGCTTTCAAATTTGCAACAGAAAACATAACTCTTTATTAGAATTAAACTTGTTTTCATATTAAGCTTCTCTGATGATTAAAATGAGTCCAACTAAAACTGACAAGCACAAGAAACTTCCCTTTCAAAAAGCAAATAACTAGATCAGTTTCACAGACAAATCATTTTAGGGCTCTACAACTTATGGTTCATAAAAAGAGTCCTTGAGGACACAACAAAAAGTGGTGGAGAGTGCAGTGCCAGGTGAAAAGGGAGACAGCAGGCTTTAATCAGTTCCGCTCTAGCTAGGGACAGGTACCAGAGAGATGACATAAAATGTTGGAAAAAAAAATCTTATTGCCAGAGTAGCTGTTAGACCCCGTAAAGAGACAGGAAAAGATCTATACATTCTTTACAAAATATAGCATACTAACATCAGACTGAACAAACAGAAAATGCAAAGTAAAATTATCATGACCAGTACAAGCTGTTTAAGGATTGACTGACAGTACACATAATGGGAAATAGAGACATAGACTTGCTAAACCCACATCAAAACTCTTATCCATTCTGAAGAGGCTTCCAATTTGAATTTGGGTTTCTGCCTATCTAGTGCAGCTAAATTCTTAGGGCAAGTCCAGTTCAGAAGTCAACAGAACTCCTGTAATCCAAGTTGCTAAATGCAGATCTAAAATATTAATTGAAGAAGCTGGTGTTGGCCTTCTGACATATGATAGGAAGTTGAGTTGAAATTCCATGTTAATAGCTAGACCTAGCTATTATCCACTTGGATACTCACAAGCACATACAGACTCCTCCTTGGAATTCTCCCCAAGGTTTATTAATCAATTGATTATCCTTTCGAAAGGGTATTGTCATACATTTACGTGATCTAGTTTCACTACATGTGGAACGGATTCTTTAGAAAAATAGAATTCGAATCACGTGTAACTCAAAAACTTCTAGTAAGACTGGGAAGCAGTAAACAAATGGCTGGTATCCCTTAGATATGTAATTTGAAGCTGAACACAATATCTGAGTTTCTCCTAAGACTCTGTAAGACAACCTCTTAACGGGACATGTCGTTCAGGTAAGGAATAAGTGCACCCTTCAGAACTATTCTTTAGATTGTTAGAACTAATCAGGTATGGTAATTCCTACCCATGCTTCTCACTTGCAGTATCCTCTTGGGAAAGTTTCTGTCAGACTAGAAATTGAACTCATATATTCCACGTACCCCATAGTTCTTAAGAGTTGACCTAACCATAAGAGCTATGACCTGACATCCTTTTTGCCGGATCTCAGCAAAACCTCCTTAGAAAAAAATGCATCTACATGAAGCTTCAAAATACAAAAGCAATACAGTCTTTTTGGTAATATTCAAAAGGAAACAAATTACATTTGGCTTCATCAAACTACCAAGAAAGACTATGAAGTAAAAAGGAATACAATCTGGTCAGAGAAATACCAAAAAGAAGACGCTGAGAGAAAAACCCAAACCAAATGCTAGTTTCCTAAATGAGGGAGAGACTGAACTCCTGACTTGAAAGCTCTTACACGGCTGAGAATTTGCTCACTGAAGACTCTTTCAAGCAATACTAGCTATTAGGAAACCATGGAAGGTAAAACATTTTAGATTTTGGAATTCATTCCTCTGTCAAAATAATCTGAAATCCCTTGTTCTCATTGGCAAAGGCCCTATCAGCCCATTTCTGTAACCCATTAGCTCAATGTATACTAAATGGAGTTTGAGAATCTCCGGTATGTCTTCCCTGTTTACAAAAGGAATCAAAAGCCAGAAACGTAACTCTTACAACATATGTACTACCACTCCTAAAATATGATAGTTTAATGTAGTTCAGGGCATAACAAAAGAAACCCAATCAGCAACAGTTTAATCTTAAATACGGGAGGCAAGCATTGTTACAATGTAATTTTGGGAGTGAAGAATCAGTTTTAAACAATTATGTGAATATCAGACATTACTCTGCCACTAACAGTATCAAATTTTAGAAATTACTTTTATTTTCACAGCAACTACATAGGCACGCACAAAGATTTGTGTCGCAGTTTTCACTGAGTTGCTCAAAAGTTAAAAAAAATCTATTCATTCAAGCAAAAGAACTCAATGTAATTTCATAAATGCTGAAGAGAAACGTTTTTACATTATCTAAAACTTCCTTTATAATTCCCTTTTTTAAAACCCACTCCAAAAGTATACATTTGTTATATCAAAATAGATATCAACCAAAAGGGGTATATATGGTAACTACTATTTTGCCTTTTTTTTTTAAAAGTAGAAAGATTGACTAGATATTAACACAAATGGGTTTAAATGTGAAGCTGCCATAAAAGCAGGCACATAAATGTAATTCTCCCAGCCGCTATTTTGATGCACATTTTTGATTCCATGAATATTTTATGAAATGGCCCAAACTAAAGCCATATAACATTCCTGCATTACTGATGCTTGCGCCCGTAAGCTACAAACATTAGAGGCATGATTGAGTGCATTAAAATGAACTCATTCAGCAGTGCATTGATTACTTGAAGGAGAAGAAGAAAAAAAAAAAAGAAGTTACTCCCACTTAAGAAAACAGCACACAAATCTGAAGTTTTCAATACTGAAATTAAATTTGAATAATGTAATATTTAATAAATAAAGGCAGTGCAAAAATATCTTAAGTTCTCTATATACAGTCCTGACATTAATTAGGTGAGATGTTAATTAGGTCCACAGATTGCTTCCAGTAGCATACAGGTAATTTAAAATGTCACAATCTGCAAAATGCAGTGACTGGCCTGCTCTAGCTCCACGCCTCAGCAATACTGAGAGCACCTAATGATTTCCTTTTCTATGAGCTCGTACGTTCACCAATGAAAATAACGCCACAGGAACAACTGCACACAAAAGTGACAGGTCTCTCAGGCAGATTTGTTCAGCAGCCCCAGCATAAGCAGAGAGCACATTTAATTCTAAATTGTAAACAGTTGTTGAGGACTTTAGAAAATATTCCACTTTAGCTTAAAACAACAACCTGAAAGAACAATAAAGCTTTATGTATATTATTGTGTATTTTAATCTAGAACTAGAACATCTTTGTAATCAATTATTTCACTGTACAATGTGGACATAAAAACTGCTTGAAACAACAGTTAATAGTGTCAAAAAAAGAAAAATGTTGTTACCACATTAAAAGATATAGGCTTGCACTTCAATTTAACTGGTTGAACTACTTGTATTATTTTTAGTTTCCTACACTCAGTTATGATAATTACAGTAGCACTATTCAGGCTGAAGTAGTTAGGAATCTGTCAACAGTTTCCAACATGAGTCACTATCTACAGAGGTTGTTACAGGTCTTTGACAGAGATGTGTTGGGAGATGGAACAAGAAGCTCACAAGAATAATAAAACAAAGTTCTCGTTCAATAATAGTTGAACCACACTGGACTCCTGAGGTAAAATTAATTGTATGGAAGTCATTGGGACTGATCTCAGATGCAAGAACCTGAGTTTATCAGCCATCTGCAAAAGCAGGACAAAAATTGTGAAAGAAATTTAAGATAAAATTTTACTGCTCCATTACTCTCTAAGATTCCTCTAAAACACAACCAACCTTCAGACAACAATCAAGGTGAGCATTTTTAAGACAAAGGATATAAAAGTTTTTTCGTTTACTATACAGGAGCTGATAACACTTTTCAGAAAGATTCTACATGGAGTTTTTAGCAAAATGACACACACAGCTCATAAGAATATTGTAACA